TTAACATCCATCTTTGTCTGCTTGAAAGCATGCAGTAAAAACAGCATGATCTTTGAAAACTTGGAGCAGGAGGTTTAGATATACTGGCTCAGTGACCATGGACAACTGTAAGCAGAGATAAGAGGGTGGTCAAACTAATCGCTGACCAAGAGGCTGCAGAGGCGTGCCCTTGACTTAACCCATATTGATACGAACACACAGCCGTCCGCGGGGGGAGGAATTTCCGGCCCAGCAAAGAATATCCAGCACTCCTAATTTAGCTGTCTTCCTCTCTTACAAATGTAAATTATTTGAAACTCCCTTGTAAGAACTGGCACCACAAAACGGACCAGTACAATTTGGCATTTTAAGATAAGAAAGAGAATACGGACCCCCAGGGGTATAAAGATGGGTCCAGCAGCACACTTACTCTGAGCATCAATCTACCACCTATCTGCTGGTCGGGTTTGGTGTTTGGCCTCCCGAGGTTCCATAGGGGACGCCCACCTCGTATTCGTCTTTCCGAGGAATTGAGGGACCGACCCTGGCCTGACCCGCTGGAGTCGAGAGGCACAGAAGGGGGTAAAAATTGTACCTGGATGTGGTCCTTTGTTTAAGTATATATATACATAGTGTTAGAGTGCTTTAAAGATTAAGCTGTCACTTGGTACCATTATTTCTATTTTCTATCTTTACTTTCTTTGTAACCATTTTTAAGATCTATATTTGCTAGCAGTTAAGAAATAGAGCAATAGCCATTGTAACCATATGATTTATAAGCTTCTTTAATAAACCTGTAACTGTTTAAGCTTTAACCTGACTCCTTCAGTTGCTGTAACAGAACCAAGCACAATTTAAAAGAACTTCAGCCGGTCGTAAGGGACAGGTATAGAAAGAGCATGGGTGTTTGGATTGTGCCACTCCCAGGTGACAGATCCGTTGGGGCATCTCTCAGTCTTTCCTAGACTGCCCGCTGCGAAGGGATCCTGTATCCTAGCAGCTAAAATCTGAGGTGTAATAAGCTCTTCCTGTAAATAAAGGGGCGTCTGTCGGCCTGCTGGCTGCCCTCTGCGACCGGACCCCGGTCCTAGCCGTAAAGACACGGACGTTAAACTTTCGGGGTACCCTTCAGCCTCCTAGGTTGCCCGCTGCGACGAGACCTCGTGTCTTAGCAGTTAACGACTTGGGTGTCACACACAACTCGCACCTTGAGAATCTGCCATACCTCAGGACTCCTCAATCAGGGTGAGAAACCTCTAATTCACCATCAGTCTAATTAGTGCATTGAGCTTTGTTTGCATTTTTTGTTTATTAACTAGTTAATCAGCACCAATCTGTTTGTTGTCCCTTATAATCACTTAAAACCAATGTGTGATACTTAATAAGCTGCTTAGAGGAAACGCAACTCATGACATGGAAAAGAAGCACCTCTCCCTTTCACCAAAGCCCAGAAGGATGGGTACCATGATTTCCCCTTGCAGATTAGCAATAAGGCTGTCCTTGGACTACTGTTGCTCTTTCTAAAATGAAATCCTAACTATTCGCTAGGCAATAATTTCAAATCCCGCCCCCCAACTGACATGAAAGGAGAAATGACCAAGCAGGAGAGACATTAATTTCCATGGCTTTAGGGAGTAGCCGAGTTAGTCTGTACAGAAGTAACTTAAAAAACAAGAAATAGTCTGGTAGCACTTTAAAGACTAACAAAATATGCATAAACAAGAGGAAGTCCTGTGGCTCATTACAGATTCATTTTTTGAGGTTTACACGATCCTTCAAAAAAGGCTTCTATTTTTGAAAGAACTGCATCAAGACTGCAATTTTACTTTCAAAATAGCACTTTTTTGAAAAAGCGCCATGATGCGATTATGCAAATGAAGCCCAGCTTCATTTGACATTTCTAAGTGTCTAATTTACATCCCTCTGTCGAAAGAGGGGTGTAGTCTAGATGTACTCTTAGTCTATAAGGTGCCACAGGACTTCTCTTTATTTATGCAGATTCAGACTAACAAGACTACCCCTCTGATACTTAACAAAACATGTTAACTAATCTCCATGTTTTGTTAGTCTGTAAAGCGCTACCAAACTATTTGTTGTTTTCCGATCTCTGTTGGGTTTGTGTGAAACCACATGAGGTGGGTGTGAGTTATCTTGGAGTATGTGAGATGAGACAAGAGCCTGTGGTCTGCATTTGCAGGATGTTTATGTCAATGTCTGTTTCTCAACTGCATCTGTCAAATGCTGTTACTATGATAAAGGGTAGCTGGATACACATTCACAGAATTATAGGTTCCTAGGGCTGGAAGAGACCTCAAGAGTCATTGAGTCCAGCACCCTGCCCAAAGCAGGACCAACCCCAACTCAATCATCCCAGCCAGGGCTTTGTCAAGCCGGGACTTCAAACCCTTTAGGGATGGAGACTCCACCGCCACCCTAGGGAACCCATCCCAGTGCTTCACCACCCTCCTAGGGAAATAATTTTTCCTAATATCCAACTTAGACCTCCCCCACTGCAATGTGAGAGCATTGCTCCTCATTCTGCCATCTGCCCCCACTGAAAACAGCCTCTCCCCAGCCTCTTTGGAACCCCCCTTCAGGAAGTTGAAGGCTGCTTTCAAATCCCCCCTCCCTCTTCTCTTCTTCAGACTAAACAAGCCCAAATCCCTCAGCCTCTCCTCGATGGTCATATCTCCAGCATCCTCATAATTTTGTTCGCCCTCTGCTGTACCCTCTACAATTCATCCACATCCTTTCTATAATGCAGGGCCCAGAACTGGCCACAATACTCCAGGTGTGGCCTCACTAGTGCTGAAGAAAGGGGAATAAACACTTCTCTAGATCTGCTGGCAATGCTCCTCCTAATGCCCTCGTGGCTACAATGGTGCCCTATTGACTTATATCCAGCTTCTCATCCACTGTAACTCCCAGTAATTCAGTGGGGTTAAGTGTATCAGTAATTAAATGTATCAGTGTATGTTTTATTGGGACATGTGTGTGCTGCATCTGGGCTGTGAAATCCCTGTTCTGCTAAAGCAACACTCATTCACTTTGAGTGAGCCATAGGGCTAAGAGATAGAAGTGTAATTGCCCAGCGCCAAACCCATCTGAGTGCACAGATTCCCACACCACTGTCTGTGTTGTCATATTCTTACTGCTAATTTTATTCTCCTCTCTCCATCAGATCTCGTGCATGTACATCTGCCCAAGCTGTGAAAGACAGCAGGATTAGGATCAAACTCAAAATATCTTTCATTTTCCATGGAGTTATTCTAGATTTGCAGCTATCACACAGATACGACAAAGCTATTTGGGTATGTCTACACTACCCCGCTAGTTCGAACTAGCGGGGTAATGTATGCATACCGCACTTGCTAATGAAGCCCGGGGTTTGAATTTCCCGGGCTTCATTAGCATAAGCGGGGAGCCGCCATTTTTAAATCCCCGCTGCTTCGAACCCCGTGCAGCGCGGCTACACGGGGCTCGAACTAGGTAGTTCGGACTAGGTTCCTATTCCGAACTACCGTTACTCCTCGTGAAA